TGCAAGGATTCAGTCATCCATTTGTTTCTGGAGGAGGGAGGTTTGTTTCCCACTCCGCTCCGCTGGCTGGCAGCATGCATACCTCACAATTTAAGACTATTTGCAATTAATTTCTGTAGCTCTCTGTGCAGATTTAAGGATTTGACTACTTAGTCCACTTTGATGTCTAGACACAGAAGTTCAGTGGACCTACGCAACGATAAAGGTATTAGTAAAAGGAGCTTCAAATGCACGCTCTGTTTCTTTGCTCCTTCCTGCTCCTCTAGAAATCACCTCCCTGAGCTTTGCCTTGACTTAGCCTCTGTCCTGCAATATTTCTCGTGGCCCTTCACCTCAGTGCTCTGCCAGAGCGGTATTTCGCAGCCACGTGCTCATTCAGGCTTCCCTCCCAGACGTATTTGATTGGAAAATGTGACTGGGAAATGGGACGTTTGCCTGTACAGTACAGCTGAGTGACAAACACAGGTGTGCACCATTTCACTGACCAGATGCAGAGAATGCTATCGTTTTGCTTCATTTCATCCTTTATTTTTCTAAACGTTTGGACTCATTACATCTTTCTTACCCTGGCAGCTACAATCGGATTTTATCAGTAGCTGCCGGCATTTCTTCTTGGCTTTGTTTTTCTGTTACATTTTGGTTGTCTGAGTTATGACTGAAGTTAAATCATATCAGCATGTTTTCGTCTTCTTCTCTTCTGACTCTTTCAGTGCCTGAAGTTCTCTGTATGGCTGGGGAAAAAAGAAGAACTAAAAATAAAAAGGATTCTGAAAGTGCAATGCTTTCCATGACTTCTAATTCAAATTGTAATTTTGCTAAAAAAAAAACCCACACCAGAATCTCTACAGTCAATCCTGACCTCAAAACATCTCTGCCTTACTCATCTGAAAGAAAGACTCCTTTTATTTCAAATAAGCTTCTGCTGAAATCCTCATGTGTTGTTTCTTAGTCAACGCCTTTTAACTACCCTAATTCTGCATTTTTGATTGGTTTAATCCTTAATCACCAGGAGCAAAAGGGGGCTTTATTTTCCAGCAATGAGGATAGTCCCTTGCAAGAAACAGTTCCACGTCCCAGTCTCTGCTAATGCATTTTGTGTCCAAAAGTCACTAAACAAAGCACGTAAACAGCGGTGGGAGCAGAGACCAGAACCCAGCAGGCAAACTCCAGCTTCTTGCTGCAGAAGTATTTGCTTATCAATGCCAGAGTGCCCTTTTTGCTATGCCAGGAATGGCAGGCATATCACTTTTTGTTTTCCTATGTACTAATTATTGCTCCACTACGAGTGCGTTTTACTTCTCAGCCCAGCCGTCTCTCAGGACTGATTTTCATTCAGTACAAATGTTCTCATTATAAAGACTTAACACGAGGAGAATATAAATGAGAAGATGAGTGCACGCTAAGAACTTGCTTATACAGAAACTGTATTGATCAAAGGAACAGCAGAGCAGAACATGTCAGCATTAACGTGCTCCTGTTTCCAGGGTTCAAACAGTTTCCTTTCCCATAGGAATGGTGTGACTCCTTGCCTCTGAAACCAGGCCAACGTAATGATTTTGTTTTACTGAAATAAAAAGTGCAAAGCATTTCTATAGAACATTATGGTACGTCACTAATGAGCTCTTTGAAAGCAAAAGCACCTTCATCAGTTGCACAGATTACCCCTTATCACTATGTGAAAACTTATGGAAGAATCTCAAATTAAATTACCACATAACCATGACTTCAAACAATTTTCATAAAGCTAAAACAACACTTACTCTATCCGACTGCCCGCTAATCACGCAGCTGACCCACCCACCGTCTCAGTTCTGGGAGGGTGCATCCCTGGGAACTGCTTTTGTCCGTTGGTTTTGGGCTGTCTCCACTGCCTCAGGATCAGACAGTAGACATCTGCAGATGAAGACTTCAGCGAACAGCCACGCAGACCTTCCTCTGACCTCTGGCAGTGCGAGTGAGACCAGAGGTGTCTCTGCAAAGACATCAACCTCTTTGGGATTTCAGTGACAACTTCCCCCCTCCTCCAAAGGGATGGAAACAGCTGAAAGCTACACGAAGCATTTAGTCCCTCATTTTCCAAGGCCAAGACAATATGCCATTAACAGTTGAACAGAGGCAGAGGGCATTCACAGATAAAAGACTGCTTTGAACAAGATTGCGCAAAACAAAGTCCCAGGCTAGAAGCGGAGTGAAGCAAGCCTCAGGCGCCCGGCTACCAGGCTCCACGCGAGGCAACCGGATTCCCTCCTGGCTTCCACAGGGCTGGAGCTGGCTCTGCAGGTAGTATTTCATCCGCAGTGAAAAAGTTTCAGTTTACACTTAATTTCGTGAGCATATTCTCAGACATAACTGAATTTAAAAAGTAAATGTGTGTTTTTACTAAACTTCAACTTACAAGCTCTGCTGAGCGCAGTGGCTTTGCTCTTCTATTTTTCCTGCTTGCTGACTACAGAAATGTGTAGGATCTCCCTCAAGACCTTTATAAAAACAGAATTCTAACAAGACTATATGAGTCACGTCTAGACTGACATAAAAATGAAACAGTATCATTTTTGTCACCAGAATGAAGCATGGCTGACACTCGTTGATCCATGACACGCTCACATGGCCTTTAGGCTAAAATAGCACACACAAAAGTGTGCACAGTCATAATCAGAAACTTCTATAAATACAGAACATGAGGCCTCTTGGATCCTAACTTCCAGGTTGTATAACCTTTCCATGAAGTAGTATTTTACCACTCAAAGCATCATACTTACTTCAATAGGACCATTAGTAGATACAGGGCGTTATCCAGCGTGTGTCCCAATATCTGTGTATCTGGATACACAGTGTCTGAATCTGACCTTAAGCTCCAATCCTCCTTAGATTTATATCACCTTCAGTCAACACAGAAACCCTATTTCGTTGCCTTTTCACAAAGAGCTTGAAGCACATCCATTTGCTGTATTACTACCTAGCTACCAGACGGAGCGCTCTTACACCATGTTCACCCATGCTTCGAGACACTGGTTTCTAAAACAGTCTCTCTTCCCACACCAGAGAATTAGTGTCTGTAGATCAGGACTTACATGGATTTACTGATCTCTCTGGTTACTCGGTCAACTCTTAAACACCTCTGCTGCACAGCTCAACAGTGCACACAATTTATACCAAGGGCTGCTCAGGTATCAAACGTATGGCTTCTGCAGCTTCTGTGGTCTACGCCTAGACCAAGTGCAGATGTCAGACACAGTTTCTCAGTGGGTCACGGCAGTCCAAAGACTTCCGGCTAGACTAGTCCTGGAAGCTGAGCTACTGCTTTTAAACCTGTCACAGACATCTCTACAATCAGCAGTGTAGAAATACTCTTGAGTATGAGCGAGCTAGGAGGTAGAACCGAAAACAAAACACAGACGAACTTGCACCATCTGTTTTGAAATGCCAACGCTTTCCCAGAATAACCTGTGCATCACTACCTCAAGACATTCCCTAAAAGAAGCGCTTGATTAAAAAACAGAATTGTTGTCTGAAAACTTGATTCATGAGTATGAGGAAGGCAACATATTTGTTCTGGTGTGTGCAGCTCAGAGCTTCACACCTGCCTATATTAGGTTCAGTTTCTGTGTATCTGCATTCTTCAGTGCTCATCTTACAGCTCCATGCAAGAGATTTATGCTTTAATTTGGCAGCCAGGCTTCACTACCAGTGGAAAAAAAATAATTAAAAAACAGAGAAAGCAAGAAGAAGGGTTGTCTTAAGAGAATGAATCCAGATGCAGGATTTTTTTTTTTTTTACCCTATTTTGTTTTCAATTTTGAGTAAATTAATATCCATGTCTTGTCAAAACCAGAAATAAAGGCTATGGTTGGCATTTTAAAAGAACGTGAATGGTTTAGAAACAAAAGCCCTGTTGACTTTCATGGGTCAAAACATCTGAAAAATCAAAGATGGGGGTTTAGTTGCTTAAACATAGGTCTCTAGTGTCTTTTTAGAGGCTCTAGGGTATCCTCTAGCCCACAGTTCCTGATCCAGAAGAATACGTCTCCTGTAGGGTTTGTGTCATACTTGCCAGACCCATGCCAGGCCCACTCTAGGGCACCTCAAATGATAGTAGCTGCCTATGTTCGGGCCATTAAGTCCCCTATATTTTATTTTTTCAGAGCTGCGATTCTTGATGCCATCCATAAGAACCGTGAGTGAGCAGAGTCTCTAATAACCAGGTCACCTATCAAAGTGTCTGGACATAAATTCAGTGATTAATTTCTACAGTTTTACTTGAAACTTGTGGACAATGACTGTTACAAGCTGAACAGTATAAAAAGGCACTTATTCGTGGTAATGACTTGCACAGAGGAAAGGGAGATGACAACCTGAAATTCAGATCTAATACAATATTTTGTTTTCCTGTTTTCATAGCTGATTGTCTGGTTTTGTGTTTTCATCTGCAAGTTGGATTTAAATTTGAATAGCTATCTCTGAATGAATTAGTACTCACTAATGTTTGATATGACAAACTTATTTCACATAAGGATACAGTAATTCCAGCATCTCCTCAGCCTAAGGAATAAGGGAACACACTGGGCTCTGTGCAGGGATTTATAGACCTGCTTGTGAAAGTTTGGGTTTTTATCTCCAGTGATGATGGCAAATTCAGGTTTTATTTTTTTCTTACTCTAGAGCAAATCTGAGTCTAATTGTTAAACTCAAAATCAATTTTTGAGGTTGAAGAGTGGATATGCACCTCTAGGAAATTGTACCAGTACCTCCTTCTAATCCCACACTGCCCAGAGTAGAAATTAAAGTTTTCCCATTCAAAACAATAATGTCTTGGGACCAGCTTATCTGCATGAATTTCCTCATATGATTCCAGCACCCAAGCTCTAGATCAGTATCTTGACACAACACCCATAGTCAAGTTAATGGCGTGATTCATACAAGCACTGTTTCTGTCAGGTTTGTACTTGCAAAGTACTTCATTTTATTAAAGTCCATTTTAGAGACGGGTGAAGATGTACATAGAGTGCAAAGGAAAAAATACTTTATTGTGAACATGGCTTGGAGATGCATGAGACGTATTTCAGAATATACTGTTATATATCAAATGAGAAAAAAAAAAAGCTATGACGCATGAGATAAATGACCAGTGCTTGAGACCAATGAAGAACATGCACACAGCTGTTCCAATAGCACAGTTCCGATACCAATCACAACGTATCATATAGTATTTATGATCAGAGGCAATTTTAAACAATGTTTATAAAAATGCAAATATTGGACCTACTCCTGCATTGTTGCACATCCAAAGCTTCAGTGAGTCTTGCATGTGTGTGGAGGGAACAATGAGAGCAAACTGATACCCCACCTCAGGCAGCAGGAGGTAGAGATGGAGGAAACATCAAAAACAAAAGACAAAACCACTGTTCTACAAAAGTAAAAAGGCAAATATTATCCCAAGGAATATTATTATTTTCATGAGAGATCTTAATTGCAGCATCCTGACTCCATTAAAGCCAATGAGAGTCTGCCATTGAGATCAGTGGAGCCTGAATTTCATTCTGAAACTTAAAACATTCTCGCATCAGTGTAAACATCAGCAGAAACAACACGTCAGCATCTATACAAGTATTCAAGTGCTGTTTAAAAAAAAATAAAAATAAAAACCAGACAGTGCTAACCAAAAATGCCAGTACATATCCAAAAGGCAGATAATTAAAAGAGGTTTTTCCAAATATACATTTTAAAGTATTTAAAAGCATCCATTTTTTAGTATTTGTATATCATTGCGACAGAAAGGAACTATGAGAAAAATCTGAATTATTTGCAATGAAAAAGGAAGGGCACAGTGTTTCCTCAGATTTATTTGAAACCAGTATTTTTCCACTTTGGAGACATGACATCCACCTGCACATTCAAGCACGTTTCAAAGCAGTGCTGAGGAGTGGCTGTACTTCATCATTATGAAATATACTCCTTCTGTGCAAGGATTTCAGCATTATTCCTCATGAGCCATTTACACCCATTCATATTTTCAGTAGAAAAGAAACAGAAAGGAAAATTTCTTGAAGAAATATTTTTTTGTCTTTAAACAACCTGATGAGGTTTTACATCATGGCAATTTACAATCATGCATTTGGAGATCCAGAGTCAATACAACTTTTCCGTTTACTGTCAGAGTTGTGCCTGTCTTCAAACAGTTCTCTGCTAATTTTCATGCGGATATCAGAACTGGATAACAGCTCCTTTATCTGATTCAGTCTGGATAACAGGGCCTGCGTTTCTCTGCGCAAAGCTTCCTTTACTAAGTCTGCTTCATGGCTCTTTCCTAGAGGAAAAGAACAATATAATACATTTTATAACAACTAATGTCATTTAGAGTCATTAATGTATGGAGATAAAGAGATCATATCTGGTTTGGACAGTATTAATCGCTCAGCCTTTTGCTCACATTGATTTTTTTTATAAAAAGGTACTTTGTCAAAAAAATATAATTTACATCAACAAATGCTACCAAAAAAGTAAAGAACAGTACAGCATTCTGTCACATTTAAGAGAACCCCCTGCCATATTACATACTGTGTAATAGTATCTGCGATGAATATCTGTAGTGGTAATTTTTAGCTTGGGGTTGACTGTTGTTGACTAGGAAACAGCATGTGCTCTCACATGGAGTAAGCAGCCCTGCGGCAGTGCCAAACCCTCGGGCGGAGAGCATCGCTTCCACTTATGGCAAGGCCTCTTCCACGGCCGTTCATGACAATCCAAAAGGCAAACGCAAAGGGTTCAGTTTCTCTTCATAAGCAAGGAAGGGACTCTTGGTATCAAGGGCCAGTGAAGACTGGAGCCGCCTGCTTCACCATTCTTGCCTTTTTTCCACCGTCCATCCCTCCCAGCCTTCAACAGATTTTCAGCAGTGGAAGCACTTATTAAACTGGTAGACAGTGTCCTTCGATTCAGAGCAAACTTTTGATAAGAGACTCACAAAGCAGAGTGCCTGTCACCCAGCACCACTTAGCAAATTTGAGTGGGGAGCTGGGACGTGTTTTTGTGGTTATTCTTGGTGGGACATTTGCTCCCGGGCTTTTTGCACAGCGCTCACTTGCTGCTATCGTTGTCGCTCTCATTCTTACTGCCGCTTTCTGCTTCTTTAGTTTTCACGGGGCTTCCATCAGTCTGTCTGGTTTTGTTTTGCGTTTCTTCTAAATATTGCTGTACAGCCTTCAGCACCGCGTTCTCCACCAGCCTTTTGCTCAGGCTCACCAGCTCTGCATCATCTGGCTCTGCTGCATGTTTTTCACCTATGCGTCACAACAGACAAGAGAAGGAATTCATTGCCACGGAAAGGTAGTAGCCGTAATTGTATCAGGAGCCTCTGGCTGAGCTGGATTTTAAGTTATTAGCTGCCTCTTCCTGACTGTAAAAAGTAATTTCCCCCTCCTCAAGCTCTGAATCAAAATTATTTCATGAAGATGTATACAGTATATCAGATCAAAAATATTTCACTGCTCATCTTTATTGTAACACTCCAGTAAAAGCCACTGGCTAACACTGTGAGCACCCACTCAGCTTAGAAGAGGAAGCGTGCAAAATTAATTTCTTCTGGTCAATCACCTGTGCCATCTGGGCGAAGATGAAGAACATAGCACATGATGAATTTACATTTTAGCAGCATTCTTAAATGTAGCTGCCCCTGTTTTGTGATTTTGCTTAATAAATCTAAAATCTTCTACCTATTTATTCATTGCTTGTAATTCAACAGTTTCTCATGGGAAAAATGACTAAAATGCTCTAAGCACAGGTTTGAAATTTTTTTCTAAACAAAGCATAAAACTTGGAAAAACCATATGCTCCCTCTCTGTCTCTCTTCTGTCTTCTAATTTAAAGCTCTGACATTGAAGGAACGCAAGTTCCAGCAGTCTATTCTTAGATATCTGCTGATAAAAGCAAGAAGCTGGCATTTCCCTGCTTTCTTAAGAGTTCACATGAACAAATATATGTAACGAAGTAACTGCATATATAGTGAGGATTCTCATACATCATTACATGTATTTTGAAATTGTACTTTTCCATGAATCATTTTCCTAATAACTGTATAGCCCTCTACAGCATCCTCCTTTTATGAAGAACGCAACCCAGGAAATGCAGGTTTTATTGTCTGGTTTCCACTGGCCATGAAATCTGCCACTTTGCAATTTCTTGCACTGAGTAAGTAACTGCTGCCCTCCATCTATATTTAAAGGCCATACTTTTAATGTCCTTTTCTGGAGTTAGCATTCTGCAACCAGTAATAGGCTGCTTAGTCACACACATCTGGTGAAAGAGATACTATTGTATGCTCTCAGCACAAAGCTCTGTACTGTTCAATTATCTAAATTTGCTCTTTTTCATATATGCAAATTTTTCAAGTTTGCTAGCACATATAGATTATAGTTATAAAAGACTTTTATTAGTCTTCATAGCGGATTGCACAACCCAGGAGTGATTTCACTGATAAAACATAATTCATATGGGGATTTGAGGGGGAGAGGGAGAGGAAAACGAAACTCTTCATTTTCAGAGGCAGCACCTTTATTAGCTGTTAATATGAGCATCCCGCTCTGGAACAGCAACACAGACCAAACTCTTCCAGTTCCAGGCCTCCACACCACTGTCACTGTGGGGAAGGAAAACTGTGCTCTCCAGCTGAAGAGTCATCAGATTAGACCTGGGTAAAGCATTTCATTACATTTTGGAAAAAGGTTGGAAAAATACTCTAAAAAAAATATTAAAAGAGGCAGCTATGGGAATAGTTTTGGTTAAAACAAAAAAAAAAAAAAAAAGAGAAAACATTAAAAACAGGTTTAGCATTTGCAAGAAGAAATCTTTTAGGTTAATATGCGAGTCCGAGGCAGGCACAGGCACAATTCCCAAAACCACCCAAACAGCTACATACTCCACGTTCTCTGGCCCACTGCTTACCATGTTCCTTCGCTATCTGTAAATCCTGGGTTTAAGTCTATCCCTTAACTTACTTAGAGGAGGGACTTAATTCAGGCTTTTATCTCTCAGGAGACTTATGATACATGAAAGCAGCATCTCCTCCCAGCTTTTATGAATTGATCCCACATGCTCCTTTGAATGGAGCCCTTTGATTCCAAATTTCCTTTGCTTTTATTAAAGATGCTCGACAAAATGTTTTGGTTGTCCCAGTCTATTTATTCACTAGCAAAAAAAAAACCACCACTGTGGTTTCCAGTTGGAAAGTTTCTTATTTTTCAGAATTGCTAGTGAATCACAGAAATTTTTACTCACACAGCTCTAATGATCTGTCCACGCAACTCTGAACAAAATCAATGGGAAATATGGTGCTCAGCCACTCTGACACTTGACCCTATAGTACTTAATATGCAGAATATGACTAATCAGTCACAGAGGCCTCCAGATACCACAAAACAGTAGTTATTATATTTACTCAGAATGTAATTTTACTTGTAGTACCTTATGCATTATTCTTACAGTCTAAAAAAGGACAGAGATCTTCTCTCATAAATATTTTCTGCAAAACAGTTCTCATTTACATATATATGTATAAAATCCATGTATCTACTATTGCATTTAAAACTTCAAAGTAAGTAGATAGCTCACTGTGCAAGTAATTTCTTAAGCATGAAAAAAGTCAGACTACTTAAAATGAGCCTTCTAAAAGTACAGTTTATATAACTAGAGAAGAATGGTTTGGGTTTGGTTTCTTTTTTGGTAATATTTTGAGACATTCATGGCTCACCAACAGTCTGGAGTTGAGTCTCTAATACCTCCTAAGTAAGCTCTGTATTCTCACTAGGAAGACATACACGGGATCTGACTGACATGTGAATGCGAATGTGTGCACGTCCCCGTATTATGAAGAGCGCCCTTGGATTTATCCGTCCGGCCACCTTGGTGGACTGGCACATGGGGCCATATGATTCACTCATGCTCTGTTTATATTCTCAGACTCCCTAAATAGCAGTTGTGTGAGTGGCTGTGCAATGCTGAGGTTCACTGGCAAGGTAGTTGTATAGTATTGTATCATTCCTATCCATGACCGTCGACAAAAAGAAATAGGTCACATAATAACAACAGCTATTGATCATCTATATTTACTTGATTATTTAACACACATATAGGTCCTGTTTATCTCTCTCTCTCCATGCTGCATCTGCTGCTTGCCTGCTTCTTAGATGTATACAATTCCTTTGCAGCAGGCAAATGCTTCTTTGTGTAGATTGTCTTACGTTATAGGAATTACCAGAATATCAGTAAAAAGCCATTGGAGATATAAATGTTTTAGATTTAAAAGGGAGGTTTAAAAATTCAGAATTGCTTTGTTCGTAAACTGTTCTGAAAAGGGAACAGATACATCATGTGCACTATATTTGCATCTATGCTGTGCCTCTTAGTATGGGCTGTGCCGCTACTTTATTTCTGTGCCTGTGAATAAAAAACTTCCACTGCCTTCTCCTGCACGTGGCTCAGAATAAAAATGAAAAAACCCTTTCATTTTGTTTATCCCAGAGTTCTCTTCTGTAATTTTCAAAAGATGAAAACAAATTCATGCTCTGTGAATGTATCTCAATGCATCCGTGCTAAGCAGTGCTTTTTATTACTGAAACCGAAGCACACCTATTGTCCTGAAATGACCACTATTTTTTACAAAAGGGAACTACCAACTGCACAGTTATTCAAAAGGGGCTTTATGATCCTACAGCGCGCTGCCAGCGGTTATGGACATGAACCAGATCCCTGCAACCAAATCCAAGTTTGGATTCAAATTCACTGCAGTATCTCTCTACTGGACTAGGTATACTCTCCAAGTCTACACCCCCTTACGCTTTACAAGACCGTGATCTGGATTTTTAAATACTGCATTGGAACAAATCAGATTTCGTGGTCCTGGTACAGCATTTTCATGGTCCTGACATAACCTGTTTTAGAGTCCATGTGGATATCTCCAATTTGGAGAGAGGCAGGACAGTTACTTGGATCCCTCTCCTGTTTATACTACTAGTCCATTTTTTGTGAGAGATTTAATTGAAAGAACCAACAGTGGATCCCTTTTACAGAAAAAGCCAGTTTTACAACCTTTTACCAGCTACACTCCAAGACAACGTCCTGCAATCCTTGCCTCATGGCCTCAACGCACTGGGTTTTGTTTTTCCCTCCAACAACCTTTCATCACAACAAAATGATGCCAGCATGGGGCAAATTATAAAAGGAGACCCTTGGTATTTTGAATAGGTGACTGAGACCAGCTGGGAAGTCTGTACTCTGGCAGCAGAGGTTACAGTCCGCACCCTGGGGAGGGCT